ATAGCAGGCAGAGCTGCAGGGAGTTCTTAGCAGCCAAAAGCTCCATCTTAGCCACTCTGCAAAAACATCTCCATGCCCAAAACACATCTCAAGAGCACTTTTAAGACAGCAGTTAATATCCAAGCTTATATTTTAGGAGGGGGGCACCAGCAAGAGCACTGGCATTGATCTATGGCTTCAACAGCTGATTGAAACAGTTTAATGCGTTTCCATTTCCAGTTGCATGGAGCCAGCAATGTTTCTTACTTATTTACAGTATCACCCCCTCCCCTGCTCCCTGCTCTTGTGTTTGCTACATAGATAACATGGGAAATTGATGCTGACTATCGCCTGCCTGATGTACAGCACTGCCGATGGGTTCAGCACGACTTTAAAGAGGAATGAGTCAACAGTGTGTGACCAGGAATAACATTTTCCAGTGTGTGAGCTTGAATAGGAAAACATATGTGTGCCTACCTGAACATTAGTTAAAGTGACAATGGCAACAGATGGCCCAGCAGGACATGTTCTGGCAGTCTTGTAGGTCAGGGCACAGCCAGACCTGCTAGTCACCAGCCGTATAGCAATGCTTGTATCTAGGACTATAAATGGCTCCTGAAGTCCTGATAACCACCCCTCCAAAGGGAATGCCCTTCTGCTTTCCTGATTGCACCTAACATTCACTATGCTTTAAAGATAAAGCACAATAGCCCACCTGTTGCCTAATGTGGCAGAATTTTATCTAAGGGCAGTAAGCATAATCCTTTGAAAACCAATCACAGATGACTGTGGGCTATTACTTTAAATTCAGAAGAGATAAATTCACAAGTCATGTTATTGCAGAGAAGGAGATACTCAGGTAAATTCCTTTTGTAGTCTTTCTTCCTGTAAAGATTTCACCTGCTGTGTGATCCCAACATGGGAAACAGGGCCAGCTTTAAGACTTGAGTATTGAAAACAAAGTCAGCCCTATGTAACTATCACCTTTTCCTTTTACTCTTCTTTCACTGGGCACTAAGAGACACCAAAACCTCTGTAAAAGACAAAAATGGCAGCATCAAAACTCTGCTTATCTCATCTTCAGAACTTGGTGAAGTAATGAACAACTCAACAGAGGACACAGGCTCTGATTGTTTTCTAAAGAGGGAGAAGGCATTCAGATTGTCAAGTGTGGGCCTGCGACAGTCAGTAGTGAGTGCTGTGAAGGAGGATAAACCCATCTGCAGGAAAATGGAAGAGCAGATGTACTGAGGATCAGGTGGGATGAGGAGTGCACAGCTGAGCTGGACTTGGACAGAGTTATGCAGTCGTTTATCGGATATAGCCCAGGACTGGCAGAGCATCAGAGCTGACATAATATTATCCAAACAGGAAAATCTAGTAAGATTGCAATTTTCACCATACTGTTTTAAACGGCTCTAACAGAGCAAATGTCATATTCACCATGGTAAGACAATCATCTCAAGGGTTACTTCTAGCAACAGCTAGAGCTTAAAGTCACTACTAACCTTTGTAATTCCTGCAAATACTGCTTTGTCTTTTAGGTTAAATGGCTAATACTTGTCTTTCAGTTTTTTGTTACATACTTGCTAAATCAGTATATAAGTAGCATCCTTTTCATTGATCCACACATACATGCATTCTTTCCTCTTCCTCATACACAGCAGCTCAAATTACACTACTGAGTTCAAATATCCAGACCACTGCACATTTTCTAGCCAATGTGTGTTTCATAGCCCTAGACTAGCTCACCTGCATAGGATGGTCCAGACTTAATTTTAAACACACCTCTGCAGAGGATTCATTTTTCTGATGGGATTTTCTCAAGTACTGGTCCTGAAAAAAACCCTTGATAACAGCATCAGTGATAGCATTGATATTCTTAACAGCACTCTGCCACTCCATTAATATTTTTATTTTAAGACTTCACAGTGCTATATTTGTTATACTCCAGAAATCTTTGATTAGATGGGTCAATTTTATTCCTGTTATGAAGGTACAGGAAAAAATGACAAGACATTGCCAATCCAAGTGTAGATTCCCAGGAATTCTGACAAGCCCAGACTCTCGCTATAACCATTATACAACATTTCTTCAACCTAAACACAGAGATATAAGGCTGCACAGACTTTCATAAACTTATTAATCTTTCAAAGCTCTATACTACAGACCAAGAAGTCCAGGGAACAGATCATCCATCCTGTCAGAGAGTTGATGATAGACAATTTCAGCTCATAAGCTAAAAGAAAAGCAATTTCTTCTGCTTTCTAAGTACAAAAAGAAAAGCAACTTTTTCTGCTTTCTAAATAAAAAAAAAATAGTAAGATGTTCAAACACCCTTTTTTTGACAGCTGACTTGTTCTTTTGTCTTCTTATTATCTTTCCACTATTGCAGTGCAGTTGGAAAAGCCTATTTCAGGACTAGTTTGTTATAATACGGCACCATATGCATGAGGATGAAGGGAGAAAACCAAGAGAGAAGGGAAACACAGAAACAGGTTCTGACATCTAATCAGATCTGTTGTATTGATTTTGCAACTTTAGCTTTGGAGCAAATCAGAGGAACAGCCACATTACCATCCAGGATGCGCTGCTCCCTGGAGCAGGGCGGTTCTGGAGGCACTCCCAGGCTGCACAAACAGGCAGCTTGCATGTGCACACACGCACCGGCTCTGTGGCGCGCACCCCTCCGGAGCGCCGCTCCGATGGGAAACGCAACCTGGGCGACGTGAGAGAAGCACTCATCACGGAGGCTGCAGGAGCCACACGATCCCCATTTCCAACAAGATGAGAATTCCAGAGCAAGCCACCGAACTAATGAGCTGCCCACGCTGGAAAGCTGTGCTTCAATTAGCTGCAGCAGCCCCTGCCACACCCACATCCTTCCAGCAGCATGAACAAGGGAGGAGAGGGATAAACAGGGACTGTGTTGTTTCTGGGTCTGTTTTCTGCATGAAGGGAAAGGGGGGAGGCTGTAAAAGGTATGAGGGCAATTCTTGCCCTACTTTCTTGGTTTGTAGTTTCTTTTTCATACTAATGGAAGGAGCAATCAACAGCACTGAAACCAAAGCTGCCTGCTGAGGCTCAAAACAGGTAGTGCCACCATGAAGTCCTTCCACGTTTTCCAGGCAGGATGAGATGGATCTGGTGTACAAACATCCGTATGCGCCCAGCTTCCACTAAGGCTACACAGAACTGATTGACAAGGGAAGTGAGTTGTTTAGGTGGGCTGGCATGTGGACTATATCACCATTACTTGGGCAAAATCACAATAAAGCATTGCTTGGCCATGGGATGAGCCATAGGAAGAACATGTTCAGCTACGCTTTACACAGAAGTTCATCACATCTTTGCATTCTTGAGGGTCACACCATAGTCCCTTCCCCAGAAGGCTTCTGGCTTGCACCTACCATCTTTCTTGTGTGGGGTATCATGTCCTATCCCTTCAGCCCAAGATTCAGATCTGTGATTCTCCTCCAGACCACCTAGTAGGACTGAATTCATCCCAAGCTCAGCACTGCTGCTCCCTCTGCAGGGGCAGTGAGGGTCAAGCGAGGGCCACACAGCTTTCAAACAGCAACACCAAACCTGGGACGTCAGCAGGTCTGATGCTTCTTTGCTCCCAAGTGAAATTTTGCTGTATTTCTCATTGTGTCTTGATGTGACCAAGAGTTATCTTCCCTGCCATGTTCTTCCAAGTCCCGTATGACTGAACCAGGCTGCTTTCCCAAACAGCTCAAACCAAGACGCACATTTTCACTCTGCTTAAGGGAAGCTTCTCCACACTACTTACCTGCCTGGAAATCTTCACACATTTCCCTATCTCATCCTGTAATCTAAGCTCACCATGCTCCTGAATAGACAGAGATAATTTTAAAAGGGGCACTTCAAATACTCAAAGTGCCTGCAGGATTTCACACACCTCTGTTATTGCTGTGCTCCCAGCAGCTCACATTTGTGAGCAGTTTGTCTGGTTGGTTTCAGCCAGGTTGTCTGCTCCGGTCTCACTTCTCTTATTCCTCGGGGGCAAGCCTGGGAGAAGTGTGGCAGCATGTCTAATGAGTGTTGCTGTGCTTGTGTCCGGAGGCTTGTCACTCACAGCCCACAGGCAGCATGCCCAGGTGTAAATTAACCTGTTCCCTGCCTTCCCCACACATGCCAGATCAGCACTGCTCAGAGAACTCTGCCAGTGTTCAACAATCACACCGCACTAATGGGACAAGATCTGCAGGGAGTGCCAAGGCATTTTATCTGGCTGCCTTCCACCAGCCTGATTTGAAGTCTTGTAAGAGAGAGAGCACAGACTTTTGCATGTCAAAACACACCTCAACAGCTGTGGGAGCTGAGCAGCTCCCACTTCTCTGGAGGGAGAAACCACTACAGGGAAAGGATGGAGATGTCACTCAATGCAGCATCCTACCCTCTATGTTCACCTCTGTGTACAGATACTGCCTTCAAGTGGTGCTGGAACAACCAGCCAGAGCTGAAATCGCCCCACATACCTGCTAAGTATCAGCTTCATGTTACTCACAGCCTGGTTGTATGAAAACCATTTGGGAGTACACATTCTCTGTTACCTATCACTGCTTTTCAGACAAAATGATTCAAGCATATCCAGGGGTAACTAAGTTGAAGAAAATGTTGTGGTGTGAAATGATCTAAATAACATTCATTTTCCACCTTTTGAGTACTTTGAAAATACCCTGAAGATATTTTACACACATGTAATGCACAAAAACACACCTGGTAGAGCTGAACTCATTTCCTGACACGGAAATAGAAACCACTGTACACAAATATACACAACGTCTCTCTCTTCCACTTGGAACATACTTGCTATATGGTACCCTGCCTTTAGCCTTGTGTAGCCTGACCAATTAAATATAAACTTTTCAAAGGTCCCCAGACAAAAGAGATGTGTCTACTCAGCCCAGTAAGGAAGCACAATCCTGTCTAGCCCCCAGGCTTTTGTGTACAGAGGCATTCAGGCAGGCACTCCAGTGCTGTATGGTTGTACTCACACTGCACGTTGAGCTGCACCAGGGCTTCCCGGGGCCTGATGTTAAATCCATTGTACCTGGCTGTCTGACACCTATAGGTCCCACTCATTTCTCGGCTCACACTCTCCAGGTGTAGCTTCCCATCGTATGTCTCCATTGTCATTGTCCCTGAAGGCATGGGGGTTTCCTTGTCTACCCGGGACCAGATGATGGGTGGCTTTGGCTTTCCTCGAACCTCGCACTGAAGCTCAGCCCTGGAGCCTTCCCGCACAGTGATGGTGGACTGACCCTTAGGGACACTGATTGTTGGTGGCACTAAAAGAGAGACAAGAAAGGAATAATTTTACACTGAGTTTTCAGCAAGTAAGGAGTAGTCTTGAGATGCTTCTGATGGAATCACACCAACAGCCTTGAACTCCAAAGGTTTCCACTTGACACACTACATCCTTCTATGAACATACTGTCCATGCAAGTTATCTTGCAGGGTCTGGAGCTTCAGGGTACCCAGGAGGATTCCAGTCTTTCCAACAGTGTGTCCCAATATCAATGCCAAGGTCCAGTTGTATTGGGGCAGACTCCAGGCTCACATCCCTCTGTTTTGCAAAATGCTATCCAGCTGCAGGGATAGCATCAAGGAACACCAAAGGCAAAAGCCTCTTTGATCCATTTTCAATTTCTGGTCAGTGAATTTGTCAAGTGGAACTGCAGTCTTTTGGCCAAAATTAGAAATCATATCTGCTGAGGTATGTAGGCAACTTATCCAGGTCAGATCAAAACCAAGACTTAAAGGATAAGTGCTTGTAGATCCCATCTCCAGCTTTCTCAGAGGTCCAAGATCCCTGTTTGTTCCTAAACCACAGCAAGGAGTCAGCTCTTTTTAAGTGTCTTTGCATATTTTACTTTTATTATTTATTTTGGTTTTTATTGGTGAATGCACTGTGAATTTCTCACACCAATAAACCTCTGGCTTATCTGAGTGACAGATGGGTCCCAGCAACAATCACCCCTAGCATCCCTTTGAGGTTGGGAAGAGCTCACCCAGAAGAATTGTGGCTGAGCTGAGGCTAGAATTGGAAGCACATAACACTCAAAAGAAATATCTAGCTATCAACTGACAACCAAAACTTTGCTGATAAACAAAGCTTAAAAGAACTCCAGTGAATACAGGGTACAGAGATGCCAGTGAGAAGAGGTTGGCTGTTCACATCCCCAGTTCCACCAAGAACCCAGGAAGGGGATTTGTGCTAAACCACATGTAATATTGACAATTTATTTGTGCTAGACTTTAGAGTCAACAGTTCAGGTGAGGTAAATATGGTCACAATCTTTTCTGAAAGCTCCTTTTTCAGCCCTGCCTGCTGACAGTGGCAACACTTGGATTGACACTTCCATAACCGCAAAGGCCATGTACTTCGTTTCCATTTAAATCAAAATATAGGACTACAGAAGCTGTAACAAGCTGGTCTGACCAACATTACCTCAATTCAGCTCCAGCAAAGGAGAGTGTGCTATGGTAATTGTACATGTTACAGCCTGCAGCTCTTTATGAAAAAAATTAGGATGGATCCAACCTAATCTCCCTCTGCAGTGACCTCCCTATGCAACACAGAGGCCACATATTCAATTTGCACGTCTCCTGTGGGCTGGGGAATCTCATCACACCCTGTCCTGCAAGGTGTGAAAGGACGGCAGCACTTTCAGTGCTAACGCTGCCAGCAGCCGCTCACCTGGTGAGCAGCAATTTTCTCCACAGGTAAAGTTGTAAATTGCATTTGAAGATTTTTTTTTTTTTTTTAATTAAAGCTATCACCTTGGAGCTGCTTGGTGGAGGCAACCACTTTGATGAGCTCAGGCTTTGTTCAGTGGGGAAACATGGAGCCACTGCTGCTGTCCTCTTGTTCTGATCCTGCAGAGCAAGGTGTTTTATATGGGAATACATATTGGAGGTGGCTTGCTGCTGATTATGGGGATGTTGCATGTTGGACAGCCTTGGCTGCTTCATGGAGGGCTGCTCCAGCAGGGATGGCTGTTTTCATTCTCTGGGACACAAAGCAGTCCTGCTGGCCCGGGCTGCCAAAGAGAGGCTTCAAAATGCCCCAGGCTGACCTCCTTCTCTTCCTCAGTGGCAGCATCCACACAGGCATATGGGGCTCACTCTCCTCCAGACAGGCACAGGGCAACCTGTCACCACAGACACTTCCTTTAACACAGCAACTAGTTGGTGCCTGGGTCTCCCATCTCTTCACAGCCTCCCACCCTTGCAATCTTAAACACAACTGCACTCTGCCATCTAGTGATCTTGGGCAAAAAGAATTGTTCCAGGTGGTATCAGCCATACAAGTTTGGGAAAGCCAATTTTGCACCAGGATTGGCGAGTTCCCCCGGTTTTGTTCCCTGTTGGGTTGGTGTCAGCTGGCATGGAGAGGTCCTACCTTCCATGGGTGTCCACAGAAAGGAAGGACTATTCTTTAGTGTTTAGTGGATCCACAGCACAGTCAGAGCTCAGTCTCCAGGCTGCTAACAAGAACTGGATGCAATCTGACCAGAAGCAGGCTGCCCCTAGTATCTCTAATGGGAGACAAGGGCTTCCCAAAGTACCAGCAGTAGTTGCAACATGTTTTTCTGGGGAGATGAAGTGATCAGCATACAGAATCAAGAGTGAGATCAGCCTGGCCTGTGGATCCAGCACAACCAGGAACTGAGAAGTAACATTCTGTGAAGGTGCAAGTCAAAATCTGTGGGCAGCTCACTCCCCTGAGGAATCTTCATCAGGTTACTAACATAATGCTTCTTTGTGCTGCACTTTTGTTCCTGGAAAGGCAGCACAATGACATGGATGTAATGGAGAGCACAGCTGGACCCACCGCTTCAGCAGAAACAGAAAGAGAGCCCTGAGACTATATTTTAGTCCCCAGCATGACAGACAAACATTGACATATTTGTCCAGTCCTTGGTGAGCCATGGGGTGAAGCTCTGACCCTGATTTTACCGGGGAGGCATTTATAACACAGGCACTCCTATAGAGAGGGCCTAAGACAGACTGCATTTGCAATCCAGCAAACATTAAAAGTCTTCATAGACATTTTATCTTGGACACAATGCCAAAGAAATGAAAGAGCAGCTTTTTTTCTCTTTTACTCTCTTCTAAGCAAAGGGACACTTGAAATTTGCTGAAATACCACCACTTCTTCCTTCACAGTGTGGAGGTTTGTTTGAACAATCACACTGTAAAGCTGTCTCTGTAGCTGGAGTGCACTTTGTATTTTTCATAGGGAGAAAGCATAAAGGAAGATCTACTTGGTACGCAATACATCTGACAGAGAAGTTGTAACTATTGCCCATCTCCAATCTAAGTGCTTGCCTGAGGATGTAAGACCTTTCTTCACTAGCATTCAAGACATGCATGTGAAGTTCTTCAAAAAATCTAGAGGCATGGGGCTGTGGGGCAGTCAGTGATGCCAAACACTCCTCTGGGGTCCCCACCTGCCAGAGAGAGGCTCACCTGTCTCTGAGGAAATGTTCACCTCCACACTGAGGTCAGGAATGGGTGCTCCCTGGAAGGTAGCCACACACAGGTAGGTGCCATAGTCACTGAATCTCAGGTCAATAATCTCCAAGCTGCAGGTCACGGGTGGGAGCTCAGGGTCATTGCGGGTGATGAGTAACCGGTCTGAGAACCTGGCTGGTTTTCCGTTCTTGTACCATGAATAGACAACCTTCTCCTGGGGGACGGCATCTACATGGCATGAGAGCTTCAAGTCCTGGCCTAACTGGATGGTCTCACTCTCTTTGATCACATCAGGAGTGATTTGGAATGTAGCATTCTTCATGGCTGAGATGAACAGAAGTGCAAAACTGGTTAGGGATATTGAAGTATCTTGCATGGGACAGGAAAACTGTTCTTTGCTACTCAGGAAGGCAACATTTCCATGCAAAATCTGCCCAAAGATCTCTCCCATTCATGTTCTCACAAAATGTCCCAAGGGCCTCACATCTGGTAGTCTGGGATCATCCAATTCAGGATAATGCTACAGCCCAGGATGAAGCTGCAAGCAATGCTAGCACAGCCATTGGTCTGGGAGAAGAGAAACTAGCACAGACACTTCTCCAGAATATTAATTACTACTAAATATCACATTCACCCTCAGCTGTACAAGAACCGCCAGGAGGAATGCAATTCCCCTACTCCCTGAAAACACAGTCTCAGAGAAAAGCAGCAACTTACACCGCACCAGCAGGTTCACAGTCTTCTTTGCCGGGTTCCCCACATTGTTGATAGCTGTGCAGTTGTAGTAGCCTGAGTCCTCCACACGGATCCTCCAGATGGTGAGGTTGCCTCCTTGCAAGAGGCTGTTGGGAGGCATTGGGCCAGGAGAGTGGGACCAAACCACTTCTGGTTGTGGGTCACCACCTGTCAGAGAGCACTGCATAGTGATGTTGTCACCAGGGTTGACCACCAGAGTCTCATTGACAGACAGCTTCAGAGCAGGTGGGGCTGAAAAAGCACAAAGAGGGGCACTTCAGAGGCTGAGAAAGACCCATCCACTTGCCTGTGCACAGCTTCATACTTTTATGATTTGTTCTTGTCGATGGCTGGTTTGAGTAGGGACAGCTGGAAAGATCTATGAATTGATTACAAATATGAGGTGTTTGTGAATTTAAAGAATGATCATTATCATGTCTTAGAATGAGAACACTACTCTTTTATGGCTAGGAAACAGAGCATGCAGGACCCCACACTGCCCTAGAAAACACTCTACCAGTAGTGCTTAGGACTGGGGCACAAAGCAGCTATGACATTTTATCAGTGCTTAGTGCAGGCTTTAGGATGCAGGTCAGAAGAAAAGCCTGATAAATCCATTCTGCATGTATAGGGGTGGCAAACAGGAAACATTTGGCAGTGAAAAGCCCAAGCTCTGACATTTCAGACCATTGAACAAGTGCAGCACTTGTTCAATATGACAAGTATAAGGGCAATGGAAACCCTTGTAGCCTTGCTGGAGAGGTGAAGGAGAATGGATAGCCTCAAAGGAGCCTGCTTGAACCCAACCATGCTTGTGCTCAGGGACAGCTGGCATTAAACAACTCCTCTCATTCTGAGTTTCCATCCCAAGAAGCAAGCTTTAGGGAAGGTCTATCATTAAAAAAAGCTGTCCTCAGCTATCCCATGATACGCCTCTCTATCTCTCACACCCAACTAGACATCTTTGAGAGGCAAAGGCTTTTTCAAGCAGATAGTCCTTGCAACTTGGAGACTGATATGGAGGACCAGGACCTGTCTGGACCTTAACAGACCATTAACATCAGCTCTGAACCTGCTCTTAATCTCCTTCACCTCCTCGGGTGTTTAATATGCTTTTCTGTACACCTGGGTGGTATCACAATCAGAGCAACTCTCCTTCATATTCAGTTGAGCTGAGACTGATTCAAAGTGTCTAGACAACCTCTCCTTTGAATGCCCTGGTACCTGTTTTTTTGTTTTATTTTATTTCTGTAACCTTCTCACTACATCCCCCTCCAGGAACTGATCCAAAATCCTTCCTCTTGTATTCTCCATTCCATTCCATGAAAAGTCTTTCAAAGCCTCTATGAGCACTACTGACTCCATCCAGACAGAGCTGAGAAAGTAGCAGTCCCCAGCAAAAAAGCAGAGTATGTTTTAAATAACAGCCATAATAATGCAAAATAAGACATTGTTCCATATTCATGAAGCCTGATTTAACAGCATCATTATTTCTGCCTCTTCTCTCCCTGGACATTGTGTTAATGAGCTATGCTGTATTTGTGTTGGATCTCTGAATTACAGCCTGTAAAAACAAGGCAAGGAGGACTCTCCTCTCCTCAGCACTGGTGCCATAATTTAGCAACACAACTACTGCTGGGATATTGCTTTGGTGTACTGAATATAATAACTTCCCTGGCCACTGCACATGCTATCTGTGTCAGAGATGGCCAGCTATGCCTAAGGAAGAAGGTGTCTCTTCTGCTACCTGCAGTGGCCATTTTGAGGCCAGTGGTTGGAGCCTTTGAATTTCGGGAGGCTACAGCCTGCACACAAAGAGGTCTCTTTGCAGGAGTCTTGTAAATAGTGTGCAAGGGTTAATGCTTATTAAATAGCAAAGGAAGGATTTGCATATCCTCACCAAGCTCCAGATGGTTTCATGAGATAGTATGAACCCAGAAATGCAATAGCTCAATTCACTGTGGTTGGGCAGGACACATTCCTGTCATTAACTCAGTGTAGCTGACCCCTGTTTCTGCCCTCAGACATTGAACTGGTCTCAGGTTAACAGTGCACAAACTGGCAGATGCAGCATCTTGCCTGGGAATCTTCATCCCTCCCTGTTAGAGACAGAGGAAGCCTGAGACCAGCCCATGTCCAGAGAGAAGGTGTCAGAGTTGGGGAGCACAAACCAGAGATCCTGCAGGCTCTGGTTAAGACCTAGGGCTCTTGCAGATTTAGGGTTGGATATGCAAGTATCTGACCCACACCCATCTTGCCCGACTCTGGGCAAGGCAACAGGTTAAAAAGGTGACATGCTGGTACAAGCACTGCGTGAGGGCAGGCTGTGTGTGCATGAGTGAATGAGGCAGGGAAAATGCAAATCTGCCACCTGCCACAGCACCAGGAACAAGCTCCCATGACATGCACCAAAATGGAGCCTTGGCTGTGGCAGCCTGCATGGGTTACCACTCCTCATTCCCACTCCCATCATCAGACAGAGGTTAACAGACTGCAGGCATTGTTATGCAGGAGATGAGTCTCATTTATTTGTAACCTGTGGCAATTCGTTTTGTTCTTGGCTCAGAAAACCTGCTGGTGGAGTCTGCTGAGCAGCGAGGGGACCATTAAAAACAAAGAATCACTTTCAATTCCCTTTGAAATCAAATTTGCTGCAGTAAAACTGCAGGAGAATTAACCAGTTGGACTGCTTAATTTTGCAGAAGTTGAGGAAGGGGGAGAAGTCAGGCTGACCCTGCTGGAGTGGGAGATGTCAGCATGGTGTTGAGCTAGTCCTGTGGCTCTGTGGGCCCAGCCTGCTGCTCTGGAGCCAGGCAACAGCTGACGAACAGAGAGGGAGCAGGGACATCTCCTTCCCACTAAGGTTGCAGACAAAGAACCCATTCCGGGCTGCAAGGCCCAAGTTGCTAAACAGAGCTTCTGAGAAATCCCTCTCCTGACCAGAGACTGTGATCTGCCCAAGGGACACTGAGGACCCAACTGAGGAACAGCAAAGGAGCTGAGGAGAATCCCCTGGCCTGACCTGACCCACCACTTCACCTCAAGGTCTGTAGTGCCTGGACTATAAATATTTAAGAGAGAGAAATTTCCAAGCATTTTAGCACCCTTTGAGCCCTTCTCAGTTGTAAAGGCAAAGGCATCCTGAGTGAAGCTGCTCAGGATTCTGGGCACAGACAGGTCTAGAGAAACTGTGAAAGCACAAGAGCAAGGGGAACAGAAAAGACCTAGGGAAAATAGGAGAGAATTATAGAATTTAATTTAAATATTTCCTCACCTTTGTACAATACTTCCTACAAGGCAAGCAAGCCATATAGTATTTCATGTTAAATATAGCCATACTATTTAAGACCAACCCTGCTCACACTGCAATGCCAGCTTCATTTTCCCTGCCAACTTTTAATACAATTTGCTAAGAACACATTTTCCATGGTACCTTAGAGCTTGTAGTGCCAAGCTCCACTGTAACTATGTATAAATATGCATTTATAATTAAAAAACATGAAAAAAAAAAAAAACCCCTCAGTAGATGCGCTTAAGAAGCTGGTGTAAATTGAGACATATAGCTGACTTGTCATCAAGCACAACCTGAAAATATATTTTCCCCATTCACTTGGTACAGGGGCTGGATTGAAATGAGGAGTATTTTCCCTGTGCTTGGGCTGGCAGGGGGAGTGGACATAAAGACAAATTTGATTTTCTAACTCTTCAAAGTTAAATGTACACAGGGAAGAAGAGCTGTATTAGATCCCTTTCTTCATCATGAGCAGAAGATATGTTTTTAAAGGGAATATATCAACATTTGCTACACTCTCATCCTGAGAGAAATTCAGCTAATAGGGTGAGTTGTTCAAGATATGTTTAGAAATCTTACTACAAAGAGAATACTTTTTTGTGACATTAGCTATAATTCACTTTCCTAAAGTCATTATTTTTTTCTTTCTACATAAAATGAGGCAACTATTGTTCTGCACATTGGAACTCAACTCAGATCAATAAACATAATTTAAACAGTATCAATAGTATCCTGTCAACAGTTAACAACATCAAAAAAAGTTCTGTTTCCACTGCACAAAGGTGACACAAGCGATGCAAACTGCTTTGTGTTACATTAGAGAGGTGAATAATTCAAACAGCTACAATGCCTTTCTCTCTGATCATGGAATACCTCAGGGTTGGAAATAATTTCCTGACATTTACTTATTATTTGCAAATATTCAACACACATGGGAGCTTTACAGGTGGGGATTCTTATTGTGTGTGTGATTTTGGTTTGGGTTTTTTTAATGGACAGGTTGCAATCAAGTCCTTGCCAGTATTTGATACATGTCACTTAGTTATCATTCACTTATTGCACATCAAGCAAGAGGCACCAAAGTGAATCTGCTCACAACTGGAGGTTCCCTCAAGCACTGCCAGGATAAATATGAGTTTAAAATTTATTTATTGGGAAGGCACCGTAGATGTATGCTTTCCACAAACTCTGTTACCAGCGGAGCCTGTTACCTGGGAGGTGCCTATAGCACAGCCTGGCAAAATAGGCTGGAGACACACATGGATGAATTATTTGTAAGAACTCCTTCAGCATTCTAGACTGTAGCAAATCTATTTTTAAAGTCACTTAGAATTATAAATAAATAAAACAGTGTATGAATTAGAAACTACATAGTGCCTCAACACCTACATGTTGTCTGTTTTAATGATCTCATGGCAGGCCTTGCCACATGCAGTGCTACAAGAAACTAGAGCAGCCCTGGCCACAAGACTTCCATGTGAAGGATCTGTAATCCTGGCAGTGATGTAAATAAGGTTGAGGTGCTGCTGGCCCTGGACAGAGTTCTGTGTTATTCTCATGGAGAAGTAATGGTTGTTGAGGAGGTGAAGGGTCAGAGGGCTGGAGGGACCCATCCTGTCCCCTCTTACCTGTGGTGTTTGTGAGCTGGAAGGTGATGGATTTGTCAGGGATACTGCAGACATTGCGGACAGACACCTGGCATGTGTAGCTGGCGTAATCCTGAGGTCGAAGGTTCTTCAGCTTCAGGACTTTAGTTTCACCCTGGGATTTGGGAAAAATAGGGGCAAGAAAAGACACAAGTGTCCAAATCACAGATCATCATTCTAAGCCCATATCCTTTCCAAAGTTTACAGATTATCAGCAGCTCCCATGAAAACCTTAGGGAACTGTAGAGATTTCAAGCCCCCCACAGCTCTATGTTAAGGATACACAAAATGTTTGCAGTGGTCATTTCACCTCCAGGGTTTCACAAAACACCCAGCAACTGACTGACATGACTTGAAAGCACTGCCAAACAGGTGTGGGCATGATTTCTCATCAACTAGTGCCAGAAACATCTTGTAGAACATAACAAACCTTAACCATTTCAGAACAGACCCTGAGATCTAACTCAGATGTCAGTAGGAACCCAAAGGAAGTCACTGGGGATGGAATACTGCCAAACCAAAGTAAACAAAGTTAATGAAGATGTGTTCTGTAGTTTTTTATTTATGGTATGTAGAAAGCTCTGAGAATTATCCTATGGTTTGCATACCCTGCAACTCATATGTCTTCTGCTGACAGCTTGTTGCTGCTGTTCTCCTTGACTTTGTCTAAATCTCTTCTGGAGAGACCATTCCATAACTGCCTGCAAGTATGAGGAGGTGTCAGCATGACAAATCCTCCTGCGGACAACCTTAAGGGACTGGACAATGAGCTCAGGAATGCTAATATGCAGAGAACAAGGATGTGGAGTGAGTATATTAGAATGATAAAACCTAGGGCGCTGATAACCCAAGAGAGTCCTGTCCCCTGAGAATTTTTGCTATGCCACGCAAATTATGGCATATGCATGTCATCTACATCCTTAAAGGGTCATATGTATCTCCTGTTTATTAATTAGTGAATTTAGGTATATTGGGTATAAACCATATACCTAAAGTAAGTGTAAGTTAGTTTTAAAAAGCTTAAACAGTGAAATCTTCACCTAGTTTTTCATGTAAAAGCCTAGCCAAACCTGACACTGACAGAGGTTCATCTCTAAGACAACACTGCAAGTACCCTTCATACCAGTGAAGGGTACTTTTTTAAGCATTCCAGACAGATTTTCCCCTTCCAACAGTGCTGCAGAGGTGTCTTTTTGTTAACTTCAATTCTTACCAACCCAAACTTACAGGCTTATGCTGGTGTTAAGGAGAGGACTGCAAGGGCATGCCTGTCTGAGCACAGCAGTCCCAGCACCCTCTTTCAGAGCTAGGAATGACCCATCATGTGAGGAGCATTGTCTGAGAGGAGTTGTAGCACGCTGGGTCATTTAAACATTAATGCTGCAACATGGTGAATTTTTTCCAGGTGCCTTATTTAGCTAGAGAAAATATCCCAAGTCCTAAGACATCCTCTCATTAGGCAACATCTCCTATTAATTACACTGAGCCTAGTGAAAACTGGAAGAGCCCATGGTGACTTCCTCCCAAGGCCAGGGATGTCCTAGCTGAGAGACACAGCACACAGACAAAGCTGTCTTCAGGGCCAAACAGTGTTTCTGCAAATCTGCCACAAACCTGCAGCTCTCTCCTCCCTCCTCATCCCCCTGAATATTTCCATTTGGATGCCCATTTCTGCGACCTACAGAGATGGCGTGTTTCAATAAAATATGAACATGACTACATTAACTTAAAGGTTGCCTGGGGCATTGCTCAGAAATCAAACTCAGCCAGAATGTGCTCTGGGCCCAACTTTGGGAATGCAGGAAGGTGCTTGGGATGAGACAGGAGCCCTGGGGAGCTGCCCTTTCAGCCGTTCCTTCCCACCCATCCCTGCCATGTGCTCCCTAGCAGCCCTGCTGGAAGTACTGGGGCTGATTAGCATCTAAAGGACATTTAGCTCCTGAGCTCAGCTTAGGGTAACATGCCCAGAGTGCCCTAACAAAAAAAAGAGTTCCCTTCCATCTCCCATTGCATTGGCCAATTAATTACTGCGAAGAAAGTGGTGTTTATAGGGAAAACCTGGTTGTGCAGGGCAAGTCCAATACAGGCAAGCAGGAGACGGAGAAAAGACATGGACACCTTGTCCCAAGACAAGTCAGGAAGCGCCCAGGCATTGGGCTCCCCATTACTTGCGGCCATTAGAAAAACTCATGGATCCCACAGCAATGCCTGCCATTTGCTCACACTGCTAAGCAGGAAGCCCTTCCCTGATATATGGAGCCTGGGCACTCAATTAAGAAAAAAAAAAAAAAAATTAGTGATGGGATATAGAGGAAATCCAGTCTTGGGATTTTTTGGATTTTAGTCTCAGCCATCCAACAGCTGCATAACCTCAGTAGGGGAGCTGTGTCACTGCTCTCAGGGGCAGCAATAAAAAGAGAAAGGTACTCCTAGGCCACACTCCCTGCTACTGCTCTACTCCTCTTATACCCTGGGAATGTGCATGCAGAAGGAAGGTCTACCAGCCCTTCTGGAGGCAGCCCTCCTTACAGTGGCCTGCACCTTCTCCCCAGCATCCTAATCCATGCAGGGAAGGAAACACCACCCACTACAGTGCCCTGCATCAGCAAGACACTCAACGCAAGCTGGCAGAGGTTTGCTTATTTTCACCTGTGTGTAAAGGGGTTCATAGATGTCCACACCATTGTCCTGACTGTGAGAAAGTGTTTCAGCTCCCCGTTTCCAGATGAAGCGAGCTGGGGGGTTGGAGTTGACCGTGCAGCGGAGGAAGACGGTCTTCTCCTGGTAGAAGCTGCCACGTACATCACTGATGGTCTGGTGAACGGTGAGAACAGGTTCATCTAGATCTGGAACGGAGGTAAGGAAGTCGCAGCCATTGTTAGCAAAGCTTGGCCTGCGTGTACAGCCTGCAGAGCAGATGATGCTCCAGGTACCACTGAGGAGAGGGGAAGGTCCCACACATCTGGCTGATGACAAGTGCTGATTTAAGAGCAATTTTACTACCTGAAGGCAGGTAGCACAACCAATATTCAAAGGGAACACACAGGAGAAGCCAGAACTCTCCCGCTCACCATGCAAACCTTCAGAGAATAGAAAGCAGTCTCTGGTTTGCAGAGCCCCATGCAGTCTTCAGATAAACCCACCTGCCTGCCACATGTGTCTCAGAGCAGTGGGCTGCCTCATATTCCTCAATGGTATCCCCCTACAAAAAAATCACTACTTTCTCCTTCAGTGAGAGGTCAAAAGGATGCCAGGAAGCTCTGTTCCATCATGATTTCTCCATCTTCTAGTTCCCAAATCTTTCCTGAAATCATGGGACTAAACCCAGGGCTGTGAGATGTCCATACAAATCACATGACAAATCTTCAAGACAAGGTATGAAAGTAAAAAAATCAGGACAAGATCAAGGAGCTGAGTTAGGAAGTCATCTAGACAGGGCAAATCTCATGAGGAATCATGGTAATATGAGATGCAAAACATTGTAATAGGTATGCATAATTTCTCTCTCTTCCTATTAAATATCCTCTGTGTATTTTTTTCAAAGTCTGTATCAGCTGTCTTTGGCAACTTCTAGTTACTGAAACACCATTACCCCTCCCTAAACTGATGAGATTCTTTTGTTCTCTTTCTTTACAGAAGATGCTCCTTTCAATTCTCTTATTGTACCTGCACCAGACACACAACCACTATGACTGAATCAATGGTTATCAGTGGCTACATTTGCAAGGACAGAAGCAATAGTCCTGCAGGAAGAGGATTTTTTCCGTCTACACAGAGCACACTGCCTCCTACAGCTGCCCACCTGCAAAAAAGGGAAGAATTTCTGAGAAGTTGCAGCAGGTTTGTTTGAATGTTTGAACATTAAGGTAGCATGGGGGACACCTCAGAGGCAGTGGATCTTTCTCCTTGCAAAACCACTTGGAGACTGAGGTTAAATATAAAGATCCCTTTTGACAAGAATTGGCCCGCTAAAATGGAAAACATGTCTTTAAGTATGTCTATAAGGCACCTTTTGAGCTCAAGGTGAAGCAATTCTCTATTTTCAGGAGCATTATGACCCCATCTTCAGCTACAAGGAAACTGAGGTACTTGTACCCAGCATCCTCTTGTGCTGCCATCATGATCCTCTGCACATGCTTAATGTCCTCATCACCTCCTGCCCTCCCATGCCACCTAATTTTCACAATATTTTATTTTACAGATTTGTAAGTTTGGAGATCTGACTTCCAGAAAGGAAGAGGGAAGCAGGGATGAGTTTCTGCTAATATGTCATCTAAACAATGTATGCTCACTGCTGAATCACAAGTGTCAACTTGTGGGTTTGCATCTTTTATTGAGCTGTATGCTCAGCAGACAGCAATTGTTATGTGACCTGAAATTTGTCTGCTTGACCATAGCTTAGAGATATGAGTAGAGCCGTTAATGGAATAATAACATGACACAAAATATATCCCAGGAAAAAAACCTCCATCAACCAAAAAAACACCCACAGCTGAAAAAAATATATGTAGATGGAAAAAAATAGTCTCCTCTCCATACAGTTCTGACTTCATGTGGCCACAGGATGACTGAACATGAAATTCTTTTGGACCGGGATCTTAAACACAACCTCTCCTCTTTTCCTCCTTCCTTGTCTTTAACCTTACTTTATTTGTTCAAACTTCACATGAGTGACTCTGTAGCTACCATCCTTCTGAGACTGCTTCTCAGCAGGTAAAACACTTCCCTTACTGACTGGAACTCACCGTTCCAGTCTCCTGGCTCCCAGCTACTCCCCACACAGAAAACAACACCTGTTTCATTGCTAAAACTTTGCTCCTTTGAATTCTTCAGCCCTCTTTTGTAGAAGTCAGCTCTATGTCTAGCCCTCCTGAGAAAAGCTAAAATAAGACCTACAATGTATATGTTCTTGATGTACGAGTAATGCCACTGATGTCAGTGAGCTGCTCCAATGATAAATTGGCCCAAGGCTGTTCATGGACATGATCACATGGGATGTTTCATGCACAATAAAAGCTTGTAAACATTCATTCTTTTCTTTTTCTTACTTCCTCTCTCTTCCACATGGAAATACTCAGAAAAGCAGCTGCGTCTCTGCCAGTATTTAACCAATACTTTTAAGCCTCACTGATGCCCACTTAGGGCAGAAGAATACTATGCTACATGGGTTAATGTTTCCAGTTTAATATCCTCTTGGCACCAATAATGCTCTCTGTACAACCTCACTGCCAAACACTAAAAGTATGACTGAGGACTAGCAGCAGCTGTCAAAGACACCAAAGTACACATAAGAATAATGACTTACCTCTAACTACAAAATGGGATGCAGGAAAAGAAGGGGTTTGTTTTTAAATTCTGGTTCATTCAGCTGAAGTTTGCCTGGGTGAGTGTTCAACAAAAACTGTGGTTTTTCCCATGTGTTCCCTTGCACCTACTGCAAATAATAGCAAAAAATTGTCTCTCCTTCCCAAAAACCAAATGAGAAGAACAGAGGTGCAGTACCAAGTCCATCTGCAGAGTAGATGTTAGTATGAGAAAGCCCTTGGCCACCCCATTAGCCCCATAGTTCTACAGGTCAGAGCTGCATGAGAGACCACAGGATGCTACATCACTCTAGCTCCAGCCTGCACTGCAGGAGCACCCTCAGGGCATGAAGATATTCATGGCACAATCCTGTTCCTAGAGACACAGGCCCTGGCAAGGTGTCACACTAAGCCTTGAGAGAACCAAGTATCCTTTGCAATGGAGAGTTATCATACATCTCCACTACACGCAGGAGAAGAAACAGGCAGAGAAGCCAAGCAGATCTAGGGTGGGTGCCAGAATGTCTCTAAACAAAGTGATGCAATGCCAATGAAAAAACACTCATCCTATCCACAGTGGCTGCTGTTGAAGTAATCCATTTCCACGGCCTAGGTAGGATAGTGCCCACACTACACTACTCCGATAAAGGGTAGGGCAAGGAAGGAACAGATGGGAGCTACTCCCAGCCATACAGTATGAACCTGCCAAAAGCTAAGGATGCCCAAGTCTGTGGTATATTTTGTGAGAGTCACATCACAGTTGGGCTGGACAGCAGAACTAAAAGGAAGCAGTCAGGCAGCAGTTGTTGTCAGCAAAAAGGTCTACCCAGACTCCAGGCATATGCTGGGGTTTTGAAGCTCAGAGGTTGTTCCACTGACAGACAACCACAGTTCCCCTCAGATCAGAAGGAAGGAGAACAGATAGAAGGAATGTAGAACAGCTCATGACAGGTTCAGGGACAGATTCAGCTACTTTATCATACTTTACAACTTTTTAGCATTAATCTCTTACCTTCTCAAATCATATGAGTGAGGAGATGGATTTAGTGTTAGTTGGGCTGGAAAAAATTGGAATAGTGGATAGTCAAGGGCAATGTAATGGTAACTTTATCCAAGAGAGCAAAACAAGTTGCCTAGACATTAAATACTGGATTTCTCCCATTTGGGCCTTACCATGTAAGTTTATTTTCCCTCTCTTTTGATCACAGCAGCCCAAGAATAAACACTAAGTCCAAGAAAGAAACATTAGGAGAAAGCTTCAAAACTTGAAGCCAAAAGTGTAAAACCACTAGCAGCATCTCCAGGACTCAAGAAGGATGAGTACCATCCAGAGAAATGTTGAGTCATCTTCCCATTATGGGCACTATGGCCAACCAGGGCAATGTTGAGTCACCTTCACATTCACCCTATCACAGCTCAGCCTCCTTAGCTGCATTCTAGAGTTCTCAGTGCTGCTTCCAGCATGCTACAGAAGTAGCAATGCTGGGAACGGGACACTGTTTTCAGGAGTGCCCCCAACATCCAGGGCACTACCAACTTCAAGAAACATTGCTTGCTTCAAGCTCTGTCAGCTTCAAAACAAAGACAAAGAAAGCAGAAGGCATGCCCAACGCTACATCCCAGAAAATTGCTAGGGAGCCTTGTCGGTGTTGTCAGACATCACAACCTCAAGGTAAGAATGAATTACTAGGACAGCAGAGCTGTATTTTGCATGGATGGATCTAATCCCCTATGCAAAAAAGACACTGGTGAAACCACACCAGTCCCTCTGCTCCTGAATCAGGTGCACATGGTCCTAGAGCAATGCAGCTTCCTGCTGGCCCCACAGTGAGGCAGAGACATGCAGTAGAACTGTGGGAAGGTCTGGGTTGCCACTAAATGACTTACACTGCACATCTACTCGAATAGACTTGATGGCAGGGACCCCAACCCCATTTTCTGCTTTACAGTAATAGCGGCCCCCCTGCAGCCTTTGTATCTTCTCAATCCGAAGGGTCTCGTTAAGCACTGATGTCTCTTGGAATTTGTCCGACGCGCTGCCAGCAGTTTTGGTCCATCTCACCTGCATGAGAAGAACAACAGAAATTAAATCAGGGACACAAAACAGAGATCCCAAGATTCAGCAGAGCTTCCTTTGTTGCTCTTCCCTAGCAACTTCCATAAAGAGATCCTACAGCACTGCCAGACTTACCAAAGCTCAACTACTGATCTCAGTATGTCCTAGTAGCCCAGCCACTGATTCTGGTTCACTGCCAATCCCCACATCCAAGAGTCCAGGATAACCCCTCAATTCACCGAGACACACACTGCATGTTTGCTACTCCTCCTCTGATCCTGCAAACCCAGCAGCTTGCTCAGTTTTATGCCACCATTCGCACAGCACAGGGCTTTCAGTGTTCAGCCTTGAGACCCCATGTGGCTGGTAGGCCACAACAATACAGCAGACATCAGCTCACAACTACAGAGTTTTTAACTACATTCCACACTCATCCTTTTCTGAACAGCAAGGCTATTTCTGCTTTTTGCTTTTCCATGAGTGAGAAAATGCAGCTGCTATCTGATTCTTTCCCCTTTCCCACTGGAAACCCCCGTGTATTTTATTTTTGTAAGTCATCCTTTTGCAGCACACAAGATTTTCCTCTATTTTTAAAGATACAAAAAAAAAAATTCCTTCAGATTTCAAGCTACATTTTTATTTATTTGTCCTTATGTTACATGTCTCAAAATCCTGGCTTGAAGGGGCAAGAGAGCTGCATGATATTTCATGGTGAATGGTGGCAAGAAGACAGCAATCCTGAAGACTGAAGGGTTTCTCTTTTGCCTGGAATGAGGTACAGCCCTTGCAGTAGCAGTAAAAGCTTCCCCCTTGTTTTGTGCACTCCACAAAATGAAAGAGAGAGACAGCTTTTCTCAGTCCATTGGTTTTCTATATCTGCAATGTCCCTTCTAAAGGCTGCTGACTGCCGGCCTCCTACTCTGGAACGGAGATCCAGCAAGATCAGCCAGCACAAAGAAGAGAGACAGCATTGGCCATAGATAAGACAGACTGAATACCTTGGCTACACTTCCAGTCTTTGCCTAAAGCTCACTGCCATCACCTGATTGGTGCTCATGCTCTAGAAGGAGCAGGGGTGTCTACATCCCATCCCAGAGCACTAGGCTGAGCAGATGTTTGGAGCTATTGACCATGAATTTATTCAGCCTTTGTAGTCTTGTGAGATTGTCTGAGGGCCCCAAGACTCTTGGAGTTTCCTGTTTTGAAGGACACTTCAGCCAGCTCTTTAATCTTCTCAATCACAATCTCATTTTAGTATTGTGGCCACATTCTCATGCTTTAATGACTGGCTGATAGAAAGGGAAAGAGAAGATTAAACAAAGGTTAGGATAAGAGCTTAACTGGGGAAGGAATCAATCCATTAGGAGGGAGGGAAGAAATAAGATGCAAGCCACATTTTATATGTGCAGGTTCCAGACTCCCTGGTCATGCCTGGTTCTAGGCTCTGGAGTCCCTTGTGCAGGTCTGGCAATGACAAGTCTGAGTGTTTCCCACTAGCATGCTGTCTGCAACAGACTCTGCTCCAGAAATCTCTCTAGCTTCTTGGGCTCAAATCTCTACAACCTGCCAGGACCTTTCCATGCATTCAACAACCTTAGGCAGGACCAATGCTACCAAATTCCCCTTTTCTGTTGCACACAGGTATCACTTGCCCATCACTGTCACAAGCCTAGGCTGGTTGTTTTTGCTGACTTGGCTCAGGTAATTTTCTTTTTATTGTTTCCAGGATATTTTGATGGAAAAGCAATTTCAAATCCTTTCCTTTGTCATCAACTTGTAACCAAGTAGCTCCTCACAAGCAAGACCATGGAGGCATTAACTGGTGTGAGAAGATGCGTGGCTTCTTGCCACAAGTATCTTTGGCAGGACTGAGGAACGGGGCCAAGGCATGTATCACATGTGGCTTCCCTGAGGCACACCCAGCCTCGCAGTGTGCGCCAGCTCCATTCCCACCACACTCTGTCCCAGAGCTGGCAGACCCATGCTCTAGGCCAGTACCTCTACAGACACCTTCACACTAACACTGAACCTCCCAGCTTGAGTATCTGAAGGGGTAAGGTGGCTGCATGGGCTTGAGTCTGTGCAAACCTCTGTTCACCCCAGGTAAGGATTTCAAACATTAGGCAAGCTCAGCTTTGTACCTCTCCACTGGACTGTGTCACTGACCACAGCATGGACGTGTCCAGTGCTGCAAATCTGACTTTGCCTCTGCTTGGTGGCCACAAAGCAATGAACAGCACAGTGAGATGCACTATCAACAACTTCCCAAACTTCCCCAAGCAGCATCCCCTTGGCTGTACATCCAGAGAAGCTGAGAAACGGATGGACCATGAAGGACCAACTCCTAAGGTAAGCACATATGGGAAGCGTCTTCTAGGATGTTCCTACTTTGTAATAAGAGGGTTAAAGATTTGATATTTCAGTTTGGACTTTAGGTTCTTGAAGGAACTTCACATACTGAAGCCAAATAGAAGGTCTTCGTAAGCTTCTGCACAACTTTGTGGAGTTTTTTCCATGAAAGCAAGCTTAAATGCTTCATAGGTTAGCAACCTAAGTTAAAATGGGGCATCCCTACCCGAGTCCAATGCGTAGGAGAAAGCTGGACACTCCACACTGCCCATAGTTCTCCTCTATGTGGAGACTACAAACAAGTACCATGGGGGAGCATGGTACTTGCCTGTAAAGGCAAGACTGAAGGCTTACCTGTGGCCGGGGGTGTCCTGTGACCAGGCACTGCAGGACCAGCGTGTCCCCCTCCCGAATTGTGTAAACACGTTCACTGATGTTGTCTTCCTTCACCACACATGCTTGCCCAGCATGGATGATTTGGGCCTGAGCAGGAGCTGTAGAAAGGAAAGAAGAGGTAAAGATGGAAATGGGCAGTAGACCATCTCCTTATGCCCACTGCCCAGGGTGGCTTCTCCCACCTCATAAGCCACAGAGGGAAAGCACCAGGTAGTTCTGGGAATGAAACACAGAAGTCTCAGGAGATATATTATTAAGCAATTTCCCCCATTTCCTGAGTGACTGATATCAACTACTATTTTAAAACCTTTGGATCTGTTGAGATGAGCAGCTCTAGACACTGAAAAACAGAATTTGGCACTTTTTTGGGGTGCATCCTCCTGCATGGATTGAGGACAAAAAATTTCCTGCTGTCATCTCTCCCAGGAAGGAATAGGTGCAAGCAGCTATAGCGGGGACCTGGTCAAATCACAACTGCTCCATGCCTGTCTAAAATAAGCCTGATTACTATGATTTACCTTGCAGGGGGCTGGGATAACTACTGAGCAGAGTAAGGAAGGGCCCTGAAGCTCTGTACAGCTATTAGCAACCGGCATAGTAAACACTGCAGGAAAAAAAGTCTTTCCCATATTAAATAGCAGCCTGTCTCAGCCCTGAGCCAGAGGAAACAGCCTCTGCAGGATGAGAGGACCCTATAATCTGTAGAGATTTCTCCACCTATGGTTCCTAATGAAGACAAGTTACTGCCAGTCTGGCCAGGAAAATGGGTGAAGACCAGTACAGTGGAAAAGTACATAGACAGAAAGTTCCCAAAACAAAGTTATAAAATGTCCAATGACCCTAAACAGTACCCTATATCCCACAACACCCTGACGAGAAGCAGGAAGAGATGAGCTGTAGTAGAACAGGATTTTACAAAGAAAAAAGCCTCAGTTCTGAAATCCTGTGCAAACTGCCTTTGGCTCCCTACTCCAAAGTGTTTGTGTAATCAGAGAAGTGGCTGAGATGTGTTGAAGGTGACTGCACAGCCTAGCTGCACACCTGAGCTTGCTTGAGGGGGAAACTCCAGTTGCTCTTCAAGATACAGAGAAACCCACAAACATGTCTTAGAGTCAGTGTCTCACTTACAGTCCCCTGGGATACTTACCCCTCTTGCCAGAATGCTTTCACGTGACTCTGGAGTCACAGCTCTAGCTCCCATTAGCAGAATATAACAAAAATGAACAAACCACAGAGGAGATGATCAAAGGGTTTAAAGCAAAGAGCCTTAGGAAGCCTTCTTAAGCAAGAATAAATTTTGCACAACCTGTTAAAGCTGAACCAAGCACCCACTTCTTCCTGAAGGTTAGTTGAACTTCAAAGATTGCCTTTTAAAAAATTATTTTCACTCCCTTGTCTTGACCAAAATGCTCTAGACTAAACCACCTGGGCAAGAGAAGTGCTCAGATTTTTGCTGGTTTAGTCCACCAGCAGTATAGACAGCAGGACTGGCTGGGCTCAGGCAGTGGAGAAGATCTGCCTTTGAGATCAGCCTTTATAAACAGGTGTCAAACAATGCACTGACCAAGTTGCAGGGACATGAGAGTGCATACAGAGCTAGTGGGAAACTGTCCTTGATGCTTTATGGCCTGCCATGGCCACTCAACATCCAGGCAGCAACGCTGCACATACAGCAATCTAATCTCTAATTTTCAATCTCTTCCATCATGGTGGCATCTTTTATCTCTTCCAGCATGGTGGCACTTTTTAAAAATTATTATTACTCTCCAAATTATTGACAAAGAGAAGCAACATGCCTATTTGAATAATATGATGGCAAAACATGGACAAATCCCTCAGCCTCTAGTGTCTTCCCCTTCTGCAGGCCTTCCAAGATGCTGGCCATCACTCAGGCATCATGGCATGCCAAAACTGACTGTTAAGACTTCAGTGATACAACTGAGTAAATGAGCGACCTTCCCCTTCCTGGATGTCAGAGAGTCTTGTTGAACCCAGCAGAAAGCACAAACCATGTATATGTGCTTACACACATCTGTGCATTTGTATACACTACATGTGTGGACATACATGCAGATATGTAAATACATTAATTTAAATAGTGATTTATCAGGAAAGATGTCATGAATGCTTCTCAAGTCAACAGTCACAGGGGAGGAATTCAGAAGCCAACATAACCTTTGCTAACACAACTTAATCCAAATGACAGCCTCTTGTGCTGTTTCAGCCCTCAGATAATTTTTCTGCAGATCTGCCATAACACCTTTAGCCCCACTGTACTGCAGAGCACTGCTTACACAGCTGAGACACAGGCTGTGATGCTGATTCTCTGCTGACCAAAAGAGAGACTCCATCCTTTCCCATCCTAAGCCACATTCCCCTAGTCTCCAAACTGTCCTGTCTGCATTTCAGCAGGGTCCTGGCACCTTGAAGCAGCAAAGCTCGGGTAACTTCTCTTGGCAGTCTCTGGGCTGCATTTTCCAGCTGATGGCTCTATTCTCCCTTTTCAAACAGGACCTTGCTGTAAAAACTAATTTCCACACACTCCATGGACAATCAGAATATTTATCTGCAGCTCTAGCTCCTAGTTAAGTGTTGCTCTTAAGTTGCTCTGCTGTACCCCATATTGTATACAAAGTAAGCATTGCAACTTTCACTATTCCCTTTGTCTATTCCACTTCCATTTTTTCACCTGTGTTGTGTAACAGAGGCACTTCCACATGGGGAACTTCCACAGGAAAATCATTAGGTAGAGTGGTACAGAATTGGAAAGCTTCTGTGCAACTATTCCAATGCCAATATACCTTGGTGCGATTTGCTGGCACATCCCTGAGTTTGAGAGAAACATTATTTAAACTAATCCTTGTAAGGCACTAGACTACAACAAAACCATAGTCCTGGGGATAAGCCCTGGATCATAATTTTGTCCTCTTCTCCCAAATTCTCCCTGGATACACTGAGCTGTAATGAAGCTGACAAGCAAGGGTATATACATCTGGCTTTGTTTGCAGGTGTCTGAACATCCTTGTGTCACCCCCATTAACACCTTTCAGCTAAATCATTGGAAAGGGACATCACTTTAAGGGAACCTCCATGCTTAAGCTGTAACATTTCTCTGGCAATAACAGCACCAGGTGCTCACCAGAACAATCACTTTTTTTCATGTCTTAGACCCCATGTGAACCCAAATCTCTCAAAAGGGAACTCAGAAAGCTTGGGGCTGTCTTGGAAGGAAAAGAACTCGGGCAGATGGCACAAAAGCCTGAGACACTGCCTCTGGTTTGGTTATAACTTGACATTAGTAGGTGGGGGCTGAGCAATGAACAAACCCAGCTCTTTGGGGACTGCATTAAGATGAGTCTTGGGAAGAAGCTCAGCCTGTCACAGCACACAAAGGCTGGGAAAGGCACCTCATGCTGTATTACAGATGGGCAGAGACACTGCGAGGATTAATTGCACTTTTAATGTGCTTGAACAGAAAGAATACATTATTGTTTGACATCATCCTCCCTCTCCTGGAGGATTCCAGCATGCAGACAACTTGCACACTGCCAGCACAACAGGATGTCAGGACCATGCCTGTCAGAGGAACAGTTTCACAGAAGGCCCTAAGGAAGGCAAAGAAAAGCTGGAGATGGAGGAGTAACCATAGCCATTCTTAGTGGTACTACACAAAGAACAACTCTTGAACAGAGAAAACCTCCCCTTCTGGGGCAGAATCCTTCACCTCAGGCCAGCCAGCCCCAAAGCAGAGGTCCAAGAAAGACCTCTGATGGTCTCTAGGGGGGAAGAAGGGACTGATTGTTCCCAGAAATTTTGAAGGACAGAGGTATCATCACTTCTATTCAACTTTCAGGTAAGATATCAACTTAGAAAAGGCTCTCAATACAAAGTCCTCCAGAGAAACTAGGCCAGCCACATATTGAGTGTCAGATGCTTTAGAAGGGAGAAAAAAAATCAGACTACGAACATGCCGCATTAGGTCCTTGCTCAGAAAATGGCTGGCCTGTAATGCATTTGGCCTCTGCATCAAAATTTCCTACTATGCTTTCACTTGATATATTTATACATTAAAACAAAAGGAAATTGAAGTGAATAAAATAACTTTATTCCCAGTGCAGTGTACTGTACGATGTTATTATTACCATAACCTTGAAAGTTTATGAGACTCTTGGTGCTTAGAGGTTGCTAATACCATGAAAATACAGAAAAGGAGAGAGAAATGGTCTTTTGGAGAGGACTGAGTCATCTGTATTTGGTTTGCAAGTCTAGCCATTCATCTTCTTGAGCCTCAGATCTCATCAATAAAATGACAACGGTGAGAGCTCCTTCACAGAGAGGATGGTGAGTGACAGACACTGCACTGACACTCTCTCAGTCACTGTCAGCACCCACAGGGGCAACTGTTCTCCCATTTTGCAGCGCAGCACCTACCACACTCCTCTGCTGCCTTTGTAGCACTCCAACAGCAGCCATCATGTTTGACTTTGTCCCACCACTACCCCTGCCATCTGCATGTCCTGCAGACTGCCTCAAGGATGGAGAACATTTATCTCCAAAGCTGCTGGGCCAATACCTGCAGCTGAATGCACAGGGGCACTGAATCCACTGACCTCTGCTACCATCCTCCTCCAGGGTGGGGAGAGAGGAAAGCTGCACCTAGAACTTTCCTCTTCCTCAGCCGGAATCTACCATCCTGCTTTGCAAGGCAAGAAATGATCTTCCATGCATCTGGTGCAGATGTAATTCAGCCTCTTCTGAAGAGGCAAAGAAGCCAAGGTCCTTCCCATTCCTGTTCACAAGATCCCTGGACTCACACTGCTTAGTTACACTCAAATGAGGAGGGCATCATCTGCTAATCTGCACCTTAAACCTCTCAAGAACCGGTCTGTCTCCCTTCCTCACCCTTTCCATCCTGAGCAAGTGGCATGTAACAGATGCATCACGAAGGGAGTTCTCAGAAATGGGAAAACACACAGTACTTATAGACCACAGTGGGGTTGAATAACCACTTTGCTATGGGAATCCACATGTGGAATTTCTTGCTGAAGAGACACTGTCAGTAACTGCCTCTCCAGGCAGCACTGTTAGTTACAGACCG